TATGTGGATGTCTGATTACAGGATTTCATTGAAATAGGGAGACGAGCATTTATTAACAGGCTCATCTTCTGATCTGTATGAAGGAAGTGTGTGTGTGTGTGTATATATATATATATATATATATAAACATTCTACTAAATATGTATATATACATATATATGTGTGTGTGTGTATTATAAAATGTATCAAATCCGACTAATATTTTAATATATTTTCTGTCTATACGTTTTATTTTATGTATACACTTATTTGAGCAAATGCTCTGTTTATTTTTTTAATTAAACAGTATTAGTTGCATTTACCGGCCTGAATGTTCAAGAAATTTCGAACCTATATCTTATACGGAACCGTCATTAAGCCTGACGTTTTATGACCGTTCAGCCACAGAAAACTTCGCATTAGCAAAGCTCGAATTACTGCTTTTAAACACACACATTCCTCTTTTATTCACACACACACACACACACACACACACACACACACACACACACACACACACACACACACACACACACACACACACACACACACAGACAGACACACACACACACACACGCACACTCACACATATATGTATATATGAATGAAAAGACAAGAGAAACACTATACTTAGTTTAGCCGACACGTTCCGTCATTCGACGGACTTTATGAAGGCAAATGTGATGGTTTTATTTTGCAAAAAGTACATATTTAACAAAATTTTAGAACGCTCATAAATATTCAGCAAGTTAACTGAAAAGATTTAGTAGTTAGATCCTAGATTGCGTCATATAGCATCTTTAAAAGGTAATTTTTAGATTTAAAGACGCTCAATTACAGGTTAACTTAAATGTCTAGGCATTCATCCTAGTTAAACAATATCCAAATAGTTACAACCACTTTCAAAACGATCATGGTCAGATCTATAAGCATCCATATCATTGATACTTAGAGTGCAGTCACATATAAAACAAATTGCGTAGACTGTTCTTGGCAATATATTGGGGAAATAAGCAGAAATAAAAAAAAAAAAACGTGTCTAGAAACACAAAAAAGGGCTTATAAATAATAATTTGACGAATGCACTAGTCATACACAGAAATAAATCCGACCACAATTTTGATTTAAAAAGCAAGCACATACTTTTAAAAATGGCATACATTAATTTTAATGAACTTCGGACAATTTCTGACGGAATTTCCTCCCTGGCTGAGAAGGATTATTCGTAAATTGGAAAAATCGATTATTAAAATTAATCGACACAAACTATCTGTCATTTCCAGTATATATATATATATATATATATATATATATATATATATATATTCAACACATCACGAAAAACATTTTATAGAGTCAAAACATAAGAGAAATTAACATTTTATAGAGTCAAAACATAAGAGAAATTAACAGTATCTCAAAACAAACTCCATTGAAAATGGCTGAAAGCGTTTGTGACGATGGACAATACGGTCAATTTTTGCGCTTTTTTACTCCACCAAGCGAAAAATGTAAGAACGCTGGAAAAACTAAATAAAAAATTAATTAAATTTTCGTGGTCTCTCATATTCAACGAAACATATTTGAAAGAATGGTTTCTGCCCTCATATATATATATATATATATATATATATATATATATATATATATATATATATATATATATATATATATATATATATATATATATATATATGTGTTTGTGTGTGTGTGTGTGTAATTGTGTATTTGGGCAGCAAACCTTCTTTCATTTAAGTTTAATTAAAGGCAACTGACAAGGTACTGCGTTTAAGCTTTTTATTTAATTTTTCTTGAGCAGGTCCTTTTTCTCTTCTGGACATAAACTGTGTAAAAAATTGTAAGGATATTTTTATATACGAACCCTTTTGGCTATTCTTTTAGTCGCATAGAAGTGTTGACATTTTGACCATCCCCCGTATGCATATATATATATATATAAAGCAAGAGGTGAGTGTGTGCGCGCCTCTCTGTCCTTGCATGTGTTGTGTGTATTCGAGTGTGCGCGCATAGTGCGTGTGTATCTACCTCAACATGTTTGCAATCTAATCATGAAAAACATTTATTATAGAAAACGAATATTTATTTTCCAACAGATTCTCATTCCTTGTCAAAGCACTTAATCTACCATCAGACATTAATCAAACAGATCGAACATAATCTCATACAATAAAACTTTCCAAAAAAAATTTATCCACTAAATACATTCAGATTACGGACTTACTGAAGCTTAATCTCAGGCGTAATTAGTCACCTTCATATATATATATATATACTAAGAAATGGACAAGGTCCGACAATTTATTTATTAAAGACATATTTTTATGTTTAACGTTGTTATTTTATAGATACAAGTATTTAAGCAAATGCTCTGTTTATGATAAACAGTATTAAATAACATTTACCGAGAAATTTTCATAGAAAATTTTCGTTCTTTGACAGGATTCGAACCTGCATCCTATACGGAACCGTCATATACGCTGACGTGCCTTTACCGCTTGAG